TTTACTTTAGAATTGCGATAACACTTCCTGCCAAGAAAATATTTTGAAAATTCAGAATCATTGTATTGCTCAAGCTGAAGACACATTGAGGTATAGTTACCTGACGGGAAAACTCAGAAGGAGAGTCAAATTAATTGAAATAGTCTACATTCAGAAATGATAAAAGCAAATATATATATATATATATATATATAATCGTCGGTGTCCACCTAATTTAAGGAATAAACCTGAAAGTATTTGATTCCTCCTCACGCAATACGTATTCCCTTTCAATTAATTTATCAAGTATTCGCTTGATATCGCGACAGTTAATGCTAAATTTATCCAAAACTTCAGAAACAAACTCTTCAATCTTTCCAATGGAGAGAGAACCGTTCATTTTCAAAGACTTTACAATGCAGCCCTCAATTGCAATCGCCTTTTCTCTTTCTATGGGTGCAATACTTCGAATGCTTTCCCGTTTATTTCCTTCCTGAACACTCTCATGCTGAATTTCAGGAACTAGAAAAAATTTCTTTCGGCTTGACCTGGTTGGTTTAACGACGTGAAGAGATTTGGAAGAAGGTAAATAAGCAAATATGTTCGCTTTAACAAGCTTGTCCAGGTGTTCACTAAATTCACTGTGGCTTACGTCAATTTTCTCTTCTAATTCTGATACCCTCCACTTCCTCTGTTGATTGAATGCCATAACAATACGCAGCTGAAGGGAAGAAAGAATTAGACGTACACCATAGTCTGCGTCATCACCTGTTTTCATACGAACGATACAAGTTGAATAGTGGGGCAAAAAGGATAAACACTTCCCAGGAGCAAAGTTCTTCTTATAGACCATTTGGAAATTTTCCAAGGCTTGATCCACTTCTTTTATCAGCAAATTAGTATCCTGTTTGGGTGGTGGTGCAATGCCATCCCAAATAAATTTATTTAGAACTATAGGCCGAAGTTCAAATGGTGCACGATGCATTGTTTTATAATCGAAGCTACGCGTAAAAACATTTTTCAGCATGATCTGACAGGAGTGCGCAAAGTCAAAATTTCTTCCCCGTAAGAAAAGGTCACTAAGCATACGCTGTTCTCTCTGGAATGTGTTTTCACAATTTGCTTTCGTTTCAGTTAAGTAAGCATTTTTTAATAAGCGAGACTTAAGGAGCTTCATGTACTTTGAGTGAAATACCTCCTTTTTTTCAATGAAACCATACATATCTGCAACCCAGTTGTCACAAATTTTAGGATTGTTGAGCCAACTGTCAGTTTCCTTGACTGCAAACACAGCTAGTGAATTGGCGATGTTCTTCTCGAAATCTTCATTATCCTGTACGCTTGATTCTTTGTAAGTGTCAAGAGCTATCTTAAGTCCAGAGAGCATAGCCACCAACAAGGGCCGCTTTGGACCAAAAATATCTATGATTTTTTTTTTCTGTACGTGATGTGTTTCCCTGATGGAGTTCAGATCTACAGCCACGTTGTTGTCATCATTACCCTCTTGAATTCGTTTCATAATCAATTCACTTGCTTTTTCGGAGACATTTGACGTGATAACATCCTCAACCCAGGAACTCTTCGAGCCCGCTCCAATGAGCTCGTAAAGGCTGGATAACCAACTCTTGCTTTTGTCCCGCTCGAAATCATTTGCGAAGCAAGCTTGAACTGGAGGCCGTAAATATTCAACTTCTTCATGAAACAAGATCTCAATTAGGTGGTTTCGAACCTTTTCTAACGACTGTTTGCACAAAGTGCACTTAACTAAGAATTCTTCCCTTTTCAAGGTACGGATACAGACACTAACATAATTCTCTGGTCCATAGCGTTTGTAATTTGGTTTTCGCAACATGTAAAAGCTGCTCATGTTCGCCAAATATGGTTCCTCCAAAATTGTGACGTAAAACGCTTGACGACTGTCACTAAGCATCGATAGGTTTAACGATAGCCGTTTAATATTTTCTATTGTGTCGTAATCAACCTCTTGGCCTTGCCGCATTTCATTCACTGTGCTCATAGCACTCATCTTCAAGCATTCCCGAACATCATCAGATAAAACGTGTTCAGTCCAGTTGTGTAGAGAAATGACCTCAGTAGGTAAAATACTATGTTCACTTGGCAAGCCCACTTTCTGCCAAACCCACTGTAAATATGTGAAGACACACTTTGTCACATTTACACCAGCTGAATATTTCTCGAACGAGTCAAGATAGGCGGAAATAGTGTAGCATTCGGCGCTTAAAGCTTGCTTGCTCTGAAGCACCTGTTTTTTCAGTAACTCACGAAATAAATAATAAACTACTAAAACTTGTGTGCATTCTTGATTGTCTCCAACTACTCGAGCAGAGTTGTTCCCTCGCACTAGAGATGGGCAGTCGTGGCATGGATACGCTGTAAGCTTGTAAACAAGTGCGTGCGCCCTGCATAGATTGGCGTTCAGCTCTCTATACAAAACAGAAAGATCCTTAGTAGGATAATTTTCAAAGATAGAAAAGGCTTGCATACAAACTTCGTTAATAGTCCTCCAAAGAATTGGAAAGCTAGACCATGCCCCAACAGTTGTCGCTTGAATACCCGCAGAAAACACCTCGTGTCCTACTTGAGGCTGAAAGTTTGCGGGTGGTTGCATTTGAGACTTGAATAACTGATTTGATAACTGATCTTATATAAATAAATAAAAAATGACTAAAGGAAAAAAACTTAAGTAAAACGAAAAGACTCAATTATTTTGAACAGTTTCATCAAATTGCACACTTCGTAAAAAAATTGCGTCTAAGAGAGAACTAATTGCAGTAGTATATGTCGAAGTAAAGATATAGCTTTCGACTTAAGTTCTCCAACAAATCTACTAACTAGAACAGAACAAAATAAATAAAAATAGAAAACATATCACCATCATTATTTACAATGGCTATCAGATAGCATTGTTTTACAAAGCCTACTACCAAAACTTCCCGAAAGTAGAGTGTAAAAAATAATGCAACTTTAATACATGCATGATATAAGAGATTACAGATTGTTAAAGTGAATCACCTATCGGGACAAAATGGTTGCATGCTTGTAATAGATATTTATAATATTGCTATAAATTCAATACACATATTTATAATGTTATTCGTTCATTCGGATAGTTCTGAGCACATATTCGCACATAAATGGCTGACCAAACATATCAGAATATTTGAATTACAATAAAGATTAGCAATTTGTAGTAGTTTAAATATATCTGCAATAGTTGACCATGATGACTAGCTTTCGCAAATCTTCAACAGATGAGAAAAAAAAACATTTATTTCCATAAATCATGAGATCATGAATAGATTTGTACACAGTTAAAGGGGAAAAACAATAAGAAACTCTGTCAATATAGAATGCATTTATTGAGTTGTTTCGATTCTTTAAGAAAGAATCATAGTATGGACACTTGTAGCTATATAATGCTAGTATTCCTTACACATATCAAGATATCTTGATGAATATTTGCCAAGAAATAATACAAAGGGACAGTATCATACACTAATGTTTAAGTAGCTTGTAATTAAAAAGTTAAAAGATAGAAATCACACGGATTCGATATACTTCACATATAGAGATTCTAAAAAAAAAAAACTCCATCAACTTTTCGGTTTAAAACCATACACCGAAATTATGTTTGCCGATCGCATTTCAAAATAGCTTCATAAATATACACATACACTCTAATATGTGAAGAATAAAGAGTATAATATAGAAAGAGTGCTAGCTGAAACAACTAAAGTTCCACTATCTCATCTTCATCACAAACTATCTGTAATCCTATGATTAAATGAGACTACCCTTCAGCCCCAGCTTGGGCACCCATACTTAAACATAATCTGAAAATTTCAATGAAACACCAAAAAGTGACGAAACTTCTTTCTTTGGAAAGAGCAAAACGGCAAATTCATTTACAATACAGAGAACCGTTATCACCACAAGCATTTGTGAATATCATATTGTGTCCTAACACCCGCCAGCCGTACTCTGGCGGGTGTTAGGACACTATGATATTCACAAATGCTTGTAGTACAGCGGTTGACCCCCTTGCATTTTGATTTGGACTGTACTTTGATTCTTTTCTCTCACCTTCAAGTTGAATTTATGATATTTCAAGATCTATGTCCGTTCAGATTTCACTTATTTGTTTTGTGGCGTACACTTTGCTGGCAAATTGCTTTATACGCCTTATATGTTTCTTTAAAAGACAGAACGAACGGCTCAAGAAAAAGTTTACATATCCTTTAGATATAGTAGCGCATCGAGGGGGATCTCTTATAGGCCCAGAAAATACCTTATATGCTTTTGAAAAGGCATTGAACAATGGTGGAGCTAACGTCCTAGAAATGGACGTGTGGTTATCGTTGGATAAAAAAATAGTTGTTTCACATGATGACGAGCTGGGTCGCACTTGTGGAGAAAGGTATCGTAATGTAAAAATATCCCAGCTTGTCGTAGGGGACTTTCCAAATAACACATTACCCCAGTGTGCAAGGTCTATCGCCTTACATTTCAAAAATGGGAATATTATGGATTACAAAGCATCAGACGATGTACCCATAGATGAGCTCACTCGCGTGTGCTTGCTAACTGAAGTTTTCGAGAGATTTCCTGGAGTACCCATGCATGTCGATATAAAGGCGTTGGGTGCCGAAGCAGTTTATATAGTTCTTGATATGATTCGAAAGTTTCGCCGTGAAAGTTACACCATTGTTGGAAGCTCTGTAACTGAAAATAAGATGTACATAAAGGACTACTTCACTAAAAATACTGCAATACGACCAAAGTTTCGTATTTTTGCAAACACAAGCGACTTTATGTACGTTTATCTTTTTTATTACTTAGGACTGCTGCCTTTCTGTAAACTAGATTTTGACGTATTTTCGATTCCTGTCTACACGACCTCTATGCGTGAAGAAGCGCAAACAGAACATGGTTATGTAGCTTCGTTAATGGCGTCGTTTTTCTTTACATCACCAAGTTTATGGAGATATCTTCAATATCGCGGCATTGCAGTTTTGGGGTGGGTTGTCAACGGCGAATCGAATTTGGCTGAGGCTGCCCTATGGCCTCTAAATGGTATCATTACTGATGATCCAGTGTGTTTGTTTAATTCTATGAAATCTAAAAAGATGTAATCTTGACGTTTTCGCCAAGTTCTTGTTGATTACCTATAGACCGAACAGTACTTGTTATTGACCTTACCTACGCTGTGATCGAGTATTATATTGTGCTCCTCTAATATTCTTTTAAATCTACTAATTCTATTCGCATAACGATCCAATTTCATAGAATGCTTAGATGCTCAAAATATTTGTACTTTTTCGTAAGATATCTTTCATTCATATTTTATTTTCCATTGTTACTTCATATTGCAGCACAGGCGATATTTTCAAACTTTCTTTCTATCTTCTTCGGGATATTTTCCTCTTCGAATTTGTTATTTCGTTGCTTGTGGATACGATTGCAGGAGCTAACTGGATGATATTCAACGGATGATTAATTGAAGGCTACTCTCATGATAAACCTTCTCCCTTAAATGCGCTATTACTTTTAAAGCCTTTTTCCTTCTGTATGGAGGATGGTCACACTGTATGTTATCTTTTTATAGTTATTAGAGGGTCGTGACTTTGTTTCTTTATTGTTTTCATTTTGTTGCTTCGGCTTCTCAGCTCTTACTTTTCGTTGTCTATATAGTTAAGGTGTTTAGATAGGGAGCCGTCAATGTACTTAAAGGAATTGTGGAATTGATTTAATTGAGTTATCATCAAATTTTACTTTAAACTTACTGTTTTACGGATCAAGATTCGGACATCTATATTTACTAGTCGCGTTACCTTAATAAGAAAATGTCGAACGATGAAAATATTTCGCAGGAAAGGCTACAAGGCATCAGGTCTACGATCCACCAATTCTTGTCACGTGCTAATGTGTACTCATCTATTCGAGATATAGTAGACTCATATGTGGCAGAATCAGAGGGAAAAGAGATTAACCCCAATGATGCTGGCGAGTTGATGCAGGTCATGAAAGAAAAAGGTGTCTTACAGCAGCTATTAAAACAGCTACAGGGCGAAATATCACAGAAAAGTCAACCAAAAGCAGTAGAGTCATTACAGAATATTGCTCCTTATGAGTACTTTCTCCATGTTCGTCTGAACGGAGGGAAAGCCTTTTTAGACAATTTGAACGTACCACGTGTGTCATTGGAAAAGTACTTCATGTTTGTAGGGTTGCAGTTCGGTCATCAGCGATTTTGCTCTTTGCCGAAGGAATGCAGCAGTGATCCTAACTTCCGTGATGATTTTCTTCTTGTTCTTGATGCATCGCTTTTGGGGTTTCCTCCGGGAGATTTAATAGAGATTGCTACACCGTTTCATATTGCTGTGTTTCGTGAGGACACTTCACTGGGTGTTGCCGAGCTCATTGGAGAGAATATCATTGACTGGAGAAAGGTTTTAAAGACTGGATATCTTAGCTTAACGATTGAGCTGTGTGGCCGTAACTCAGGTATACCTGCTGGTATTCTACAAATAGAGCTTGAATTGATTTCACAAAAAAAGGTTCGATATAGTGAAAATGATATAAGCACAAGACTCGAGCGACAGCGAGAAGCTATTACTGCAGCAGATCGTGAGTTTCTTGTTTATGCGCGTCGATGGTGGTCTGAATACACTCAAAATAAAGAAATGAAAAGGCGAAAAGTTAGGCTGTTCGCCAACACAGTGAGTGGTCGAATGGTACCCTTAACACAATTTGTAACACCAATTCAGGCGGTATATGGCCTTACTTCCCCTTTTAGCGCACTTCGTTTTGTTTCGCTATTGAAAGTCCTTCGTGAGGGTGAGGAGTCTTCTTTTTTTCCAAAAGAGGCTCATGACTCAGAGTCATGGCTTTCACCCTTCGTTTTTCTTTCTCAAAAGCAGGGAGATCCTTGTAATCACTCAGGTTTGCTATGCTCTCTCCTTCTGGGATTTGGGATGGACGCTTACTGCGCAATTGGATCTGGGCTTCAAAATCAAACTTCTACATTTGTGCTCTCAAGATCTAAAACTCCAAGTGGTGCTTTTGATGTGACAATTTGGCAACCAGTCACAGGAGAACGAGGTAGTGTTTATAGTAACCATCCCTTTTTAACTATCGATTGTGTTTTCAATCACAGGTGTTTCTTTGGTAACTGTCAACCCTCTAATAGCATACAAAGCGCCTTTTTTGATTTTGATAATGAAGAATACTGGAAGCCGATTAATCCGTTAAAGCTTAGACTTGTGCCCAAGTTTCCTAGTCCCCCTCTCCTTTATATACCGACGGAATGCCATGAGCTTGAGAAAACACTTGAAAAGAAGCTACGTTCTCTTTTGAGACGTGATCGAGATTCTATTGGACAGACTACGTATTTTAATGACAATTTATCATATTCACTCGCACAGGCCCTTGACAACTATGAAAACCAATCTGTCATGCGAAAAGAGCAGGACTTTTCGATATTTGAGCAATGTGTCAAAGGGATACTAGGACCAGGTAAGACATTTAAAGCATTGCCCCTAAATCTCTCTAATGGGTGCGATACTCGAATAATGAGTCTGTTTAAGGCAAGCAGCGTTGGGAAGGAAATTATAGAGACCGTTGCTGAAGACGCCAAGTTCGCACTTCGTGTGAGAGTTTTTCCGTATCCGGAGGGTATCAAATCAGTTTGGGCAATGGTTGCGGTGGAATATAGGTTGCCAGTATAGTTAAATAGAGATATAGATACCATTTTAGATTAACAGAGAAATTAATATCATATGAGTTTGCATGCACAGAAACGTATATATGTACGCATATATTCATTATCGCATCGGAGTGATTTAGTTCTTTTTCCACCTCAATGAACGGCATAAATGTTGTATAGTAAGGCTATTACGGAGACATATTTACAGGTGTGTAATTTTAGTTTATACATTTGTTACTTAAAGGGTTAAAATCAGTAGTCCCTTTTTCTTTATATATACAAGCACTCATGCGTCGACTAACCTTTCTTGCTTCCAACTGTTGCTTCAAACGATTGGCTCAGTCTACTAGTCAAATTCAATTTTTCCCTGTGGCTAAGGGTTATTCCACAAAAATCTTGTATGACGCAGCACCTCTCCATACCTCTAATGTTGCGGTAACTGAAAGTGCGTCAGCACCGTTACGCACCCTGAAAGAAAATAATCGTGAGGATATAAGTGTACAAGATTCGAAGGGCCAGGCAGTGAAAATTACGCCACTTAATTCTTTTAACGAATTAGGGAATCTACCTGAATGGCTTCGTCTCTCTCTGAAAGAGATGAGTTTTCCTTCTACTACAAGTATTCAAAAGTATGCGATTCCTGCCCTTGAGGATGGTCATGACATGGTTGGGCTGGCACCAACTGGATCTGGCAAAACGGTTGCCTTTGCTGTACCTGCCTTGAAACGAATGAAACCTAACGCGGATGGGCTACCGTCAGTTCTTGTACTTGCTCCTACACGGGAGCTTGTTCAGCAAACAACTCAAGTATTCCGAAGACTTGCGCATAAAGAAATGCGTATTTGTGAGGCATATGGAGGTACTCCTCGAGAAATCCAGCATAGAAGCTTGCAAAGAGGATGCGATATACTTATTGCATGCCCGGGGAGACTGACGGACTTTTTGAAAAGCGGTAGCATATCATTGCAAAACCTTTCCTTTCTAGTTTTTGACGAGGCGGATCGGCTTCTCGATATGGGATTTCAGCCCCAGCTAGATGATATTTTGGGTTATATAAAACCAGGGCAAAAAATTCAAAAGGTCATGTGGTCAGCCACTTGGCCGGAATCTGTTCAGAGCTTAGTTCACGAATATCTTTCCGATAGTCGTCTTCTAATTCGCGCTGGAACTTCAGGAACAGGGTTACAAGTCAATGAGCAAATAAAGCAAACTATTCTCTTCGCAGAGGGTCCGCATGAGCGCATAAAAATGCTTGTTGGTTTGATTGATTCCGGGAAGATCGATGAGAATACTGCCAAGCTCATAATTTTTGTAGAGCGGCAATCCGACACTGAAAATACTGCGCGGGCGTTGAGCCGAGCTCTCAATATCGAACCCAGTTACATTGGTGTTATTCACGGTGGACTTTCCCAAAGGCACCGTGACAACGTTCTGAATCGCTTTAAAACCAATCAGATCCGTCTTCTGGTCGCCACTGATGTCGCCTCGAGGGGCTTAGATATTCCTGATGTGACTTGTGTTGTGAACTTCCAGATTCCTAAGAACATCGATAGCTATTGTCATCGTATTGGCCGGACAGGCAGGGCTGGGCGCACGGGCGACGCGTATACGTTTGTTGGGAGAGAGGATGGTGCGATTTCTGCCGAGTTGATCGAATATTTAAAGCGATGCAATATAGAGGTCCCTCCTCAACTTGTGCAGCTTTCTGAAACTCACAATGATAATTTAAGATATCGTAAGCGGAGGTCATACAACCAAAATCGCGAGCATGGCTTTCAAAAGCATTCTTACACAGGTCGTCGTGAGTCCACTGGGTGGTAAAGTATGTGGTTGTCAACGAAAGTATGATAAGTCTTAAGGGTGTCAAGCTAATCTTTTTTTTTGTATTGATAATTCCTCACAGCTTCAGACCATATTTGGTTAGCTCTGAGCTATTTGGTCCTGTAAGGGTAACGACTCGTTTGTGGAGAATGTATCATATACGACACAACTTTTGTATAGTCATAAGGCTAATATCCAACCGTTACACAGCGGTGAACGGTTCATCTGAACAATAATATTCATCTTCCGAAAATTTAGCATATTTTAAGTGCGTTTGTTTGACCCAAAAAGGATTATTTTTATTGAAAGCTCAATATGGAATGCATTCTCGAACCAACCCAGACCAACCTCGAGTTGGCGTCGAGCGCGCTCGCGCGTGGCAAGCTGGTGGCCTTTCCCACGGAGACTGTCTATGGGTTAGGCGGTAACGCTCTCATGGAGGACACGGTCCGCAAGATCTACGAGGTGAAAGGCCGTCCCGCCACGGATCCCCTCATCTGTCACGTCGACACCTTAGCGAAGGCCGTGCGGTTATGGGACCCATCCTGGGATGAGGGGTCCCTTCAGCTGGCCTCCGCGATCGGCGCGTCGTTGTGGCCCGGCCCGTTGACCATCGTGTGCCGGGCGAACCCGTCCCTCCCGGTGTGTGTCACAGGTGGCTCCAGCTTTGTTGGCGCCCGCATCCCCCGTCACCCAACAACCTTAGGACTGCTCAGCCTATTGGACTTCCCATTGGCCGGGCCCAGTGCGAACGTCTTTGGCCATGTGAGTCCCACCACAGCGAGACACGTCTACGACGACCTCTTCTCCCGCGACCCGGAGCTCCTTATCCTCGACGGAGGGGGGTGCGAGATCGGGATCGAATCTACCGTCGTCAAGATCAACAGCCTCGAGAGTGTGGAAGTGGTGCGGCGTGGGGGGACTTCAGTGAGCGCCATCCTCAGGGCCATCGCGGATCGCTTCCCGAGCACGCGCATTGATATTCGTGATACGCGGTCGAGGCTTGCCCGCGTGGATGCGCCCATGGATGCGCCTGGTCAGCTCTTGACCCATTACTCTCCGGCAGTTATGTCGTCATTGGTCACCCCATCAAGCTTAGCCTTTGGCTCCTTGGACTTTCCCCTAGTTGTTCGGATTGGAGTAGCAGTTTTCCCTATTGAAAAGATCATTGTAATTGATTACAAAGGAGTTCTTTGGATGCTGAGGCATAAATGCATCGCTTATAGGGATTTGAGCCCCGAGGGCAACGCAAAGGCGGCGTCCTTTGATGTCTTTGACACACTAAGATGGACCGAGTCTGTTAAGGGTGCGGGCGCGGTTGTATTTCCCCTTCTTTCTGAATGGCCTGAAATCCTTGATGACGATGTTGAGCTCCTTGCTGCAGTTGAAGATCGTTTATTTCGCGCTGCGTCTGGGACGGTTGCCGTGATATGCAACTCCGATTCATCATAAATTTCCTAATGAGTATATATTGTACTCATATTAGATTTTCTTTATTAAATCACTGAAGTAATTTTTTATATCGATCTTGTAAAAAGAAAAAAATAATCAGAGGTTGAATTCAAAGTCCTCCTATCTTGATTTTTTCCCCTTCTAAAGTGCTGTCTTATCTTTTTTTAGAGTGAACTAAGAAAAATTACTATTTTGAACATCCTGTTGTAGCATATCCTTTTATTAACAGTTTTTTATATGGCTTTGTTTCATCCCCGTGATGCTTTTATATTTCATCAGGAACGAATCCAGCGAATAAATGAGGGGGATGAGGTGGATACATCGGCTATACAAAAAGTGCAAATAGATGTTCAGCGCATTTCCGATACTGAATCTACTGCCCTACTAACCTTTTCACACGAAGATCACACATTAGGTAATCCACTTCGCCATGTTCTAATGCAAAATCCGGATGTTTCTACAGCAGGCTACTCTATTCCTCACCCTTTAGAACCGAAAATGCTCCTGCACGTACAATCAACGGATTACGCAGTGGATGTCGTTACGAATGGACTGGAGCGGCTTGCTACCATATGTGATGAGACCTTGGCGAACTTCAATGAATGCTTGGCAAAGCAAGAACGAAAGTCAACGAGCTAGATCTAAATCTCCGCTGGCGTTTAGAACTTGTTCGTGTGTATGCTAAAAGAATCGGTGGAAAATGTGCTTACTTAAGTATTCGTGAGCTGTTTAATAAAACTTAAACAAATATCTTGTCGTATAAATAAGTGTGCTCCAAAAAGGGGTAAAGACTATAAGAACTGCTGTTGATACTACGTTTTTCCTTGAAAATGAGTAAAGATGATGTTTCTTTTACCTTCTCTTCTCTTTCTACATTATGCATTGCAGCTTTATGCTTAAATATTGGATGATACCTCTTCATGCACTTATATCACTTTCAATAGAGCGTCCATATAGAAACCTCTTTCTTTCGTGTTTCCAAGTGTGATGGCTTTGGCATTTTCAGCACGCATTAATCTGTCAACCAGCATTCAAATCAAAACGTTATTGGTTGCTCTTCATCGCCTATTTTCCAAAGAAAGAGATTTGAGCGCAATTAATTGATGTGTGCAGGGGGTATTCATCTGATTGGATTATTTAAGCCCGTGTTAAACAGAGTTTTCGTGTGGGTCAATATTCCATATTTACATATATCAGGACACACATTTTTGCTTACGAGGATGATTTGTTTGCGCTTAATTCGTGTGATCTTCCTAATCATTGTATTTATGTGTATTTGACTGGCTTAATTGAATACGGCGACCGAAAATGAGAATAACATCATCGGGATACTATGCAAAGTAGCCTCGGTTTGGATTTTCTTAAAGTACATGCGAAATTCTATGGATGCTTTCGATTTAGTTCACAATAGCCTCACTTATTACATATAAAGCCTGGAGTGCCACGGGTTTGCAAAAATACATTGTAGTCTCGCTTACGAGTTCTCTTATTTGCTTATACTGCTATTTCCTTTATTTTTTCTTTTCATGTTCAAACTGGTGCTCACGCACCTTGGCATGCTGGTGTGATTCTAGAAGGTCTCTCAGAGATACTGCAGCTCGGAGCTCGATTTGTAGCTTAGTGCCAGCGAAACAGCTCATCAAGTGGTATCGACGATTCCACTTGTGAGAGTGTGGAAAATTAATTTTAAATCTGCCTTTGACAAAGTTACAGCATCCGTTCTATGAAGGCTAAAATTTTATGCTATATGAACTTCTCTTGAAAATTATGCGCCAGACTTACCCAACAAACTCTGAATTTTCATTAACACCTTGGATTTATTAGGTATAACGGAGGAATCGTAATATATGCTGCTTTCCTCATGTGGAATCTTAACAAATATAAAATACTTTTCTTTTTCTCTACCAAAAGTATGCGGCCCCTTTTCTTGTAATGCTATTAGGTAAACAAGCAAAAAATTATCGCTAAAGGGTCTTGGCCTTATGAGTACAACCTTAGCTGAACCTAAAACCTCGGTGATTTCGGGCGGGCGGAAGCGAATCACGTCCAAGTTTACCGACGGATCCGAGTTGGTTGAGGAGTTTGACGTCATCAGTGATGAGTTAGTGCTCCGAAAAAGACGGGTTCGTAATGTTTTAGGCGGGTGGAATGATTGGATTATTGAAATTGGAGCTGAGGAACGTTCATATAACCTTGATCGTGTTCTTATTGTAGAGTCCAACGGAAGCCCAGAGCTTATACGTCAGGATACCGCCGAGCTTCACGTTTTTCGGATTCGAAACCTTCCGTATCCAAAGGAAGTATTCATGCTAAGTATTGAAAGGAAAGACCAGGATTCAATCGGAGAAATAGTAGTGCGCACCACAAACAAGAAGTACTATAAAAGAATTGGCATTCCAGAAATGGTTCGTGCACAAATACCTCTAGATGAATCACATCTTAGCTTTGACGTCAAACATAATACACTGATTATTCAGTACCGGAAGCATTTTTCCATCTTAGCGGCAGAATCTCAGGCAAAGAAGGAGCGTGCTTCTTTACCATCCAAGCGTGTTAATGATAAGGACGCTTATTGTGCACAGCAATAGCTGAGAATCTTTCCTTGTATCAATGTGCTTTCATTGAGCTTTGTGAGTTTGGTATACGAAGAGAAAAAGCTATGATTGAGATACGGCTTCATGGAATGGAATTTTTTAAATGTAAAAACAAACGTGTATTTTTGTTTTCCTTATTTTTTTTGGTGGGTGTATTAGTTGTGTATGTTGTACAATATCATGAGTGTTTAATGATCACATATTTTGATACCGTTTTTTATAAATTAACATGTATATTTATAAAAGACCGATAGGCTTCATTGCTACACCAACTTATTTTTCTGTTGGTTTGTAGAGCATGGATATACATGTTTTTATTTGTTTATCCTTTTTGTTGTTGACCCATGTATCACTTAAGTAGGTTTAGTGTGGATAGTAAACATCTAAGAGTCTTTCCGTCTGTGTTTTTCCTTTTAACACGACCCATACGGCGATGTTTCGCGGCACTCGTCGAGCGTTAGTGCGGGATCCCGTACCTACCGACACCAAGGCATTTTATACGTGGTTTAGTGGGCAGGCGTATCGTCAAGAGCGTGTCATTCCAGGAGGTTATCCAGCAATTCGTATCTACCCTGTTTACGGCAAACGCTGGTTTACAGGGCGTACTCTTATGGCGATTATCGCTGGCACCTCCCTCTACGGGGCATGGCTTCGGCCGGAGAGGGAGCGCTACAACATGGAGATGACGGTCGAGTTCAACGAGCGCCAGGCAGCCCACTTGCCGTATCAAAAAGCAGAGTTGAATCTGCGCGCGCTCATTTCCGCCTACAAACGCCACCGCTACGAGCGAGAAAATCTGATTGATAAAGGATATGTCGGCCTGACGTCGGAGTTCCGTAAGTTCTTTTACCACGATGACGTCTGGCGACCCGCGTTGCACGATGTGCTAATGCATCCTTACACGAAATTTGGAGGCCCCTTAACGAGTTACAACTGGTCGATTGGATACTTCTAGGAAGGCCAAAAGAACTTGACTCGATGTGAACCGATAGGGAAAATTCCCCTTTTTCTTACTCTTTTGAAATAGCTAAATGTCTATATTTATGCTTAGAGAACATGATTAGTTGAGCTGTACAATGTTAGGATAGGAGCAATAAGAAAACAAGTATGCAGAAGGAAAATCTTGACTTGCTTTTTTGCTTTTAGTGGAGCTATTTTTTTAGTATTTTTTTCTTTCCATTGAGAAGTGATTGTACACGGTGATCCTTGCTTTTTAAGAGTTTCCCGCTGAGCGGATATTTTTTTCTCTGATCTCTTTCTTCTTGGCTTACATTGTACCCACCAAGGTGCAAAGTGGACGAAGGAACCAATAGGGCAATATAAAGTCCTTAGAAGTAGATTTCTCGTCATCAATTTTTGTTTTTTTTTGAATGAAGGAGTTCCTTGATTCAACCGCGGATGGAGTTGCTCGAATGACAGAAGAGTACGCAGGAGCATTTGACCGTGAAGTGTGGAAAGCACAGCAGAAAGCTCGCTTCCGTTCACAGCTTCGTCAGGCTAAGGAAAAGCTAGAGCGAGACATCCTCCTAGCGGTGAAGGAAAAGGAAAAGAAGAATATAGTTGAGCTAGAGAGTACCCATAAGGACCTTGAGAAAGTGGCAAAGCGCCTACACGACGCTGAACAAGCTATTCAGCGTCGTACAAAACAGCTGGAGATGCAGGAGGCCGCATTCGAAGCGCGTCGGGCTAAGGTGGCGGAGCAGCATGAAATGCAGGTTAATCGTGCTGAACAGCGTGCGAAGCGCACTATGGAGGAGGTTCTTTCTCGCCAAAGCTCATTGGAAGCCCAGATTTTAGAAAAAGATCTCGTGATTAGCCAACTAAGGGATAGGCTGCAAGGCTTAGAAACCGAGTACGATTCATTAAAGGAAAAAATGGATTTGTGCCTAACTGAACAGTCAAATGCGTATGCGGAAGGTGCCAAAAAGTTGGATCAAAGGCTTACGCAAGCCACGAAGTTCATCGATGAGCTGAAAGAAGTCTTGAACGATCGTACGCAGCTTCTGCAGAAGTTGTGGCGCGAAAATGAGGAACTTCGAACGCAGCTCGAGCAGTCCAAGCTGAGCTCGGAAACGCTCTTTAAGCAGTACAACGACCTCCTAAACCGATGGTACGCGAGTGAGCGTGAGCACAAGGAGAAAGAACTGAGGCGGCTTGACGATGAGGTTCATCAACGGCAGCGGCGGCGAGGGGGCTCGCATTCGAACGCGCCGCGCGATCCCCTCCACGCGATGCTGCATTCCCTCAAGGCGGATGTGGCGTCGTATCTCGGCGAGATCTCCTCCACGCGGCGTGCGGGGAAGGGTGGGGGAGCTTCCAAGAGCGCCCATCCCCCTCCCTTATCGTCCTCCTATGTGTGTGTGGAGCGGCCGGTTTCCGTTTCCGTGGCGCAACCGCCTGTGAAGGTCGTGGAGCGTCCGCCTTCCCCGGAGGTGATTGCCGTCCGTTCGATCGCAACGAGCCCCCTTTTGCCTCAACCTCCTCCTCCTTCTCCAAAGGAGGAGGTTGAACAGGGGGAAATCACGGCAAACACCTCCACCAGCTCCTACCCCCATGTGGAGGTCGAATCCTGGCGATCTGACGAGGAAGAAAAGCGATGGGAGGAAATCAAAGCGGGTGAAGAGAGGTTAGAGATGGAAGAGATGGAGGAGAAGAACGCAGCCTCGATTTCCACTGCTACGTTGCCGCCGCTCGCCCCTTCTCCAGCTCCCGATACCACTACGGAGGTTTTACCCTCCCCGGAGGATTTCGCGCAGGCCGCGCAAACCGGCGTATCCTCGGTGGAATCAGCCCGCAACGAAATGATGATTTTTGTTCGGCAGTTAAAGATCAATCGTCAGAAGTTGTTGGATACCGGGGTATACGGTGAGGATCACGCAGTTATTAAAGAAATGGATGAAAAAATTTCATTATATGAGCAATATCTCGCGGTATATCGTTAGAAATGGAGTAGAATTATGTTACATTTAGATTTGATTCAATAGAGCGAAGAATTTTGCATCCCCATAAAAAATCGAAATACTACAATGAGGAGAACGGACAGTCTTCAATCTATCCGTTTCTGTTTTCCCTCATTTATGTGCCTTGACCAATCGTGTTGCCGATGGTCTTCCTTTCCATTTTTTCCGACTCTTTTAGTCGAATTTCTGTTTTCCTTTTTTAATTCTTTCCTTTCATCAAGCCCACCCGCAGGTGAAACCATCGCGTACGCCGCGATTCCTTCATACAAGGTCCCTTTTTATTTTATTATATTTTTTTCATCCCCTCCCACACATGCACTCGCGTCTTCCGCTATCCATTCTCTTTTCCGCACCTGGAGGGCGACATGCGATCCCACATCGCACCTTCCACGCGCCCGCTGACGACGCTTTTTTTCGTTATTTAGATTCCAATGACAGCCGTCTCCCGCAGCATCCCCTCCTCGACGCGCACGCCGCCCCTCCGGAGGCGTACGATACCTACACCGGTGAGGAGGTCTGGGATCACCCCCTGACCGCGGCAGAATCCACGGCCAAACCCCCTTCCAATGATCCCGGAAAAGACGCAAGCGAGGAGGAAAGCGAAGGCCTCATCGCCAATCGTGTTTTTGACGATGTGGTGAGCTGGGTGGAGAGGGTTTTAGGCGAGGCGTGGGCAGCCGACGGCGTCGTCCTCTGCGGGCGGTTTGTCGTGGCGAACGACTGCGCGTGGGCGGTGGCCTCGCGCGGGGCGGCCGTCTTCACCACGCGGGAGGTTTTCATGGCGATGCGCTGCTCCGCGAAATTTCGACAAGACATTCACGCGCAACGCCACGGCAACGGCGCGATGGGGATGGAATTCACCCTCGCGAAAGCCCTCGCCGGGGAGGGAGCGAAGGAAATGCGGGTTTTCCTCCCGTATCGCCTAACCTCCGTGGAAGGCGGTGGGGAGTTGCGGTTATCCCTACCCCTGGAGAACTACGCGGCGGTTTGTCAGCGCGCGACGGATGTTTGCTTTCCCTCGCTCATGAGCTGGACGGAAAGGGAGCACGACGAGAACTTCGCGGTGATCCTGAAACGGCTGAAACAGGCGCGGCTGCTGGAGCGCGCGTCCGCGGCGAATGACAAGTGGCTTTCGAAATTAAAGCACATGTTCCTGAAAGACGCACACAATCCTTTGCGACCTACGGCGAAGAAACCCGCGGCGCCGAAACGGGGGGAGATGCAAAATCTCGTTCTTATGCTCGCGGTGGATATCCTTTTTGAGGGTCCATCCTTACCGATCTACCTCCTCAGTGCTCAAACGCGGCTTTTCATCGCCAAACCAACGTCGCTGGCTAGTCAGGAGGCTGAGAGGGATAGAGACGCCGTCGGAGCCGATTTACCCTATCTTAAGGAACCTTTAAGCAGTGATAACGATGATGACGATAGCAACACTGACGTTGCCTCTTTTTCAAGCAGTTATGAGTATGATAGGATTTATAGCATGGATCACAGGGAGGTTGTATTAGGGTTTTTCCGCTTAATCAGGGATGAGGCGAATTGGAATCGATATGTGGACGTTATGGCAGGCCGCTACGCGTTTTCTTTTCCGCCCCCTCGGCAGAGTCCTAATTGCAACGGCATTGAAAACGGCACGGCGCATCGAACGCCTTCTATCGCAGAGGGTAGCGAATCGGTAAATCACTATTGCATAATAGCTTCAGACCCTTCGGATTTAGTTACTTGCAGAGATGACTTACGGATGCGGGGGTTGCCCCTCGAATTTACGAATCCGGATCTTCTTCGATCGGATCCTGAGCAGATGGCATTCTTACAAAAGATTCGCGATGGATTGCTTAACCGTGCAGGCGATTCTTGATGGGTTCTACTTTCTTTCCCTCTGATCCTTCCTCGATGAACAAAATAGGTTAGTTGAAGAGTTATCATAAAGAGGATCCGAACACAAAGAAAAATGTGAACCCTGGACGATGTCTATTGCGGCGCCAGAGAGCGAGGGAAAAGATCACAAACGAATAATTGACTTTTAAAGGGTCGACTGATGACCTCCGAACCGAACTTCTATTCGATAATCGCGTGTTAATTTATTCGCTCAATATGTTCGACTACGTGTAGATATTTTACCAACGCAACAATACGATATCTTGTTAAATCGTTCTTTAATACATTTCCCTCTCTCCAAATGTTCAAGCCCATTTTATGTGTTGTTAGCGAAGTGCTAAAAAAAGGATGCATATATCGGAACTTTTCTCAAAGGTGTATATTATATTTAATCAAGTTTCTAATGATAATAGGTAAAGTGATCGGAAACGATCGACAATACCGGATTGATGCGCTAATCGCGAAAGGGGCCTTCAGCACGGTTTACCGCTGCGAAAGTGTGTTAACCAGTTGCCCGTATGCAATTAAGGTGATCAGCAAAGAGGTGGTGCAACGCCACCAAATGAGGCAGGCGTTAATTCGGGAGGTCCACGCGATGGAGGTGGCTGCGGGTTCTCCGTATGTGGTGAAATTGGTTGATAAATTAGTTTCCCAACACAATTATTACATCGTAACCGAGCTCGCCGAAGGGGGAACGTTGCTCGATTTGATTCGAGTGCAGTGTAGGAGTGGGGCATATGAGTGGGGGAAATCCCTTTGTAGGCAGCTGTTGATCGGCGTGGCGTCCTTACACGAATGCAATATTGTGCATCGAGATATCAAGCCTGAGAACATTTTGCTCAACAAGGAAAAGATGAAGATTATGATTTCAGACTTTGGTTTCTCCTGTTATGCGGCTCCGGACGCGCTGCTCCATCGGGAATGCGGTACCCTCAAGTACTGCGCGCCGGAGTTGCTTCATGAAAATCCAAGCTACGACGGGCGCAAGGTGGATGTATGGGCAACTGGCATCACCATCTACCTTGTCATCTTTGGGGTTCACCCTTTCCCGTGTAAAAATCGAGATCCTGATGTGCTTCTAGAGCTTATCACGAGAAAGGCGCTAACATTTCCCAAATACGCATCCCCGGAGCTGCGGGATATGCTGTCTAAGATGCTGGAGGTCGATCCGAACAAGCGGTGGGGCGCGGCGGATCTGCTTCATCATCCGTGGATGGAGGATACGAGCGCGCAGCATTCGCTTGATGTCGAAGTAAAATCACCTTCAAATCATTCCTTATTTCATGAAACACGTGGGGAGAGCGTTGCGCGATCACCGCTTGCGATCATGACGACGGATGTGTTAGAAGCACTCAACTCTTTTAGCGGCCATGATAGTGTTGACGATGGGTTTTACTTCTTGAATCGATTGGAGAAGATTGAGGAGTCTTTTCTGGAGGATGAGATCGTCGTCGAGAGGGGGTGCTCCTCAACTACGCCACTTCCCTCAGGAGCTAGCATATCCCTATCTACTCTAGGTGGTTCCACATCCTTTCAAACTACCAAAGAAGCTAGAAATAGATTGTTTTCTTTGCCATCCTTAGTGGTTGAGCGACCAATAGATGACGATTTAGACTCCTTGAATTCCCATACACAATGCCAACGCCTTGCGGTTGAAATAAGGGAGATCGTATGCTTCGTTGTGTTTTGCGAAGTTTTGCTCTTTGTGTTTGCTATCCACTTCTTGTTTGGGTTTCTTGTTCAGAATTTTTACTTGTTGCGGAAACTCTCTGACGGACTCGAATGGTTGCTTGCCTGTATGTTTGAGATTGTTGTGCCTTGTGAAAACAAAAAGGTTACAGGGGACTTTCATCGTCGTTTGAGTGATTTGCAGTGCGTTGAAATGCCTGGGAAGGTTCACAGCCCACGGGTTCTTCAATCACGGGTGAGTTATCATGTAGCCAAAGCCGCAAATTTCATCACAAACACGCTGCAAGGCTTTCTACCAATGCATCAATTCAGAATATGCCGCAACCTAATAAGCTTCGCACATGAAGAACCCCATACCATGAGTCCGTGTGATATTCACCGAAATAGATCAGAAGGAGTAGCTACAAGCTCCTTTTCCCTATGTGAAGAAGGGTCGAGGATGTTTTCGCCCTTGGTAGCGCCTGCTGGTGAAGATGAAAAGGGATTTCTTTCTCTCAGTCACTCATTATTTCCTCTAAATATAATGGGTACGAACGCAGTCCGTAACAATGATGTTGATAAGTAATAATCCTGCGAATCTTAAAAAAACTGTCATACAATGAGTGAGTGGTAAGGATTTGATGTTGGCATTGTAGCTTTTTTGAGGAGTGAGTAATTTTATTAGGGAGTAAGTCCCTTTATGATTATTATTTTTTGCCTCGTTTTTTGGAGCCAGGTATTCGTGACATTTAATCAGAAATTTCCTGAGTGTGCAGCATATCATAAGGAGTATTAATTTTGGAAATAAGGTTTAAATTATGCCTTTTTTTCTAATATTGATTTTATGTTTATTTATCTATATATATATATATACATATTTATATCACAGAGTGGTCTTCATCGTAGAGAGGTTTCACATACCCCATTTTTCACTTTATTATAATGGTAGCTGCCTGTTCGTAATCTTAATTTCATAAAATACGTCTGATTAGTTGATGATCTACATTATAGGATTTTTCTTTTTCTCTTTTTCTGGAAAAGGAAAAATGTGTGTTCGGTTAAATGAACTCCTTACATCCATATTGTATCTTTTCACCCCAAACCAATGCGCATGACTTGTGTGCGGTTCCTTATGAAAAAGAAATGAAATCCCCCGCAAAAGAGTCTACTCTCCCCCTCCCGCCCTCCTTTCTACAAGGGGGTGTTGTTCATGGTATGGATGGTGTGGGCTGTCCCACTCGGTAGGATCGTCCGCGTTGATGCGTTTCTGATCTTCTGATCTTCTCATCTTCTCCTTTTTTTCTCCTCGTGTCACGTGTCACAGCTTTTGATAGATCAAAGAGTATTGGGTTGACTTCCTTTTTCGTTCTTTACGTCTTTAGTTCTTTACTTGTTTTGCTTATTCCAATTCTTCCAAGTACGGCGTTTGGGTCCTATGTCCGTCCATCGGAATGAACCGGAGACCCGACGGGACGAGGCCGCCGGCGACGCCGTGGCGGCCTACCAGGCGGCCTGCCAACGCGAGCAGGTCGATTGCCTTCCCCAGCTCCTCGACCTTCTGAGTCCTCCCCAGCCTCCTGCCGCCCCGTCGCGGCCGCACCGCGCG